CAGCCCCATTAGGAATAATAGCATTAGTTAGCTGGAAACAGTCCATACCATTTATGAGTCCCTTTATTGGGAGAAAGGTGGGATAAAAATAAAATAAATACAATAGGATGGGATGGGAAGGAACAGAGCTGGGGTTAGATAAGAAACATGCTGGACACCCATCACAACTTTCATCAAATATTATCATCACAACTGCTTTCCCATCCCTTCAAATCAGATGACGTTGCTAATGTTTACCTTATAAAAGAGTTTAGATGCTAGATGATAACTTATGACAGGATCTATCCAAGACCATACAAAATATCTTCCTTATACCTGCTCAAATGCTTGCATATGACAGGCACCATGTTCAAATCTTATACCTCCCTCTGGTGGTGAATGATGGAGAAATTTTGGGGTAGGAGGGGAAAATGGCTAATTTTGAGGGTTAAGGGGGAAGCAGAGATGGCATATTTGCAAAGAAACTCCTTTGCTAGTTTAAAACAAGAGCAATCTTCTAAAATCTAGCAGACAAATGTACATATACACAAGTATTTTATATCAAATACTACTTAGCTAGTTGGGTGCAAATGACAGGATTGCCAATAAGCAATAAAATAAGATTGTGCTATCCTGGAGCCTATTATCCCAATAGTGATGTGAACAAGAATTAGGAGAAGCAGACCAAAATTGAAACACTTCTGAAATGCAAACGTCAGGTGATCAACATATATGAGTGCATAATTAAATGGGAGCGAGTGTCTAGGAGAAGGGGGCAGGTACAGACTGCACCCCATCATACATTTCCAGAAAGACCATACTGGATAAACCTTACTGGTGGGAATGACTGAAAACCTATCTATTATGACCACAAAATCAATCACCATTTCTCCTAGATGTGTTATTTGGGGAGATGGAGAGGAACTAGGAGAGAATAGGCCAGAAACCAGTGGAAAAGTAGTAGGAAGATAGAAGATACATTGGAAGACTGACGAACTCTCATAGCTCATCCTCTGGAGTCAGAAGAATTAGAGGAGGCAGCAGATTGGCAGAAATCTAGTTTTTGGTGATGCTGGGCTTTCCTAGTCCAAAGAACTGGGGGTTGAGTAGAGATGGGCTCTACTCCCCAGCAGGAGGTTGCAGACACTGAGGACATGTTGCCATCATTTGTAGAGCATTGAAAGGACAAGGAAGAATTATGCTAACCCAGTGGCTGTTAAAAAGGAGACTCTGATTAATTAGGGCCTCTGGTGTTTTGAGAAAGCAAACTAGAAATATCCCAGCAGTTCTCTGAAAGCTTTGTCCTTTCAGTCGTCCTATCTAGGTGATTGGCAATATTCTTCAGTATTTCCATTTTCTTGACCTTGGACTGGTTACAATTTATTACTCTGTTTTGCTCTTTTGGACTGCTAACTTGTTGTATGACTTCTGGGCCAACTGGATATCACCTTCTAGCTTCTCTGTTCATTCTACTGGATAAGCTGTGCCTGACCTGAACTGGATTAACTACTCAATGGTCCTTGTACTCCACACCATTGCTTCCTTGGACACTTGCTAACTGAAGCACAGGACACCAACAAGACAAGGCAGATGAATATAGCAAAGGAGCACTTCCATGTGAGGCAGTTTTGGCTTCTTGTGTCATCTTAGAATAATTGAATCATAGAGTTGGAAGAGACCTCGTGGGCCATCCAGTCCAACCCCCTGCCAAGAAGCAGAAATATTTCATTCAAAGCACCCCTGACAGATGGCTATCCAACCTCTGTTTAAAAGCTTCCAAAGAAGGAGCCTCCACCACACTCCAGGGCAGAGAGTTCCACTGCTGGACAGCTCTCACAGTCAGGAAGTTCTTCCTAATGTTCAGATGGAATCTCCTTTCTTGTAGTTCGAAGCCATTGTTCCGCATCCTAGTCTCCAGGGCAGCAGAAAACAAGCTTGCTCCCTCCTCCCTATGACTTCATCTCACATATTTATACATGGCTATCATGTCTCCTCTCAACCTTCTCTTCTTCAGGCTAAACATGCCCAGCTCTTTTAGCCGCTCTTCACAGGGGTTGTTTTCCAGACCCTTGACCATTTTAGTCGCCATAAGATGCCTGGAGATCCTGGGGCCAAAGAGCAGTAACTGCAAAAATTAAGAAATCTAGGTGGAGGAAGACAAAGCATCTAAACAGAAGCAAAAATATTGAGATTGATGTCAGACTGAGAGAAGAGCCTCTCCTGAAGATTTCAGGCCCCAGGCAGGTTTGTATAAGGCAGTGGTTCTCAACCTGTGGCTCTGTAAATGTTTTAGCCTTCAGCTCCAATAAATCCTGGTAAACAGCTGCTAAACTGGCTGGGATTTCTGTGAGTTGTAGGCCAAAACACCCGGGGATCCACAGGTTGAGAACCACTGGTGTAAGGGGATGCGGTCAGCCAAATAGCCTGGACCTGAACTGTTTAGGGCTTTAAAGGTCATAACCAGCACTTTGAATTGTACCCGGTAGCAGACTGGCAGCAAGTGGAGTTGCTGCAACAGTATGCTGTTTTTCGTCTCACGTTTTTAATGGATGTACATGGGATCATCTGTTACCACAATGTTGTGTTGTTAGAAGCATCATAAATAATTTGAAAGCAGTGGCTTATCCATTAGATGAACAAAGTGCCATGAAAGAGTTGGCCAGTACTGAAAGGGGTAAGATGTAGATTCAGATATACCAGAATCTACCTTATGTTAGCTCAGACTGCTTGTTTGTCTGGTTCAATATTGTTCTGTCCAAATGGTATCTGACCTTTGTAGTTGGAGATGCCCAGAACTAGGCATGCACAACACATAATCTTTCTTTAGGGTGACTCCCCCAAATGTATAGTACACATAGACATGTATGCTTTGTGATTGGTTCTGAAGCATGGTTTGAGATGGAGAAATATTTGGATATCTGGGAATAAATGTCTTAACTGCTCAAATATTTATGTTTGGGACACCAAAAATGCCAAAATAGATGAAGTTAATCTAAATGGAAAGATGTAAATGTGTCAGACTTTGGCAGCAAAAACAAAATGTTAATGAAGATCTCTCAGATGGATGCCAAATTTTCATGTCTTGGGATGCATGAAATTCTTGGTATCTTTACATGTAATCTTTCAAGGTATATTTTAAAGAACGCTGGCTCAATGTAGGAGCTGAAGAGGGCCAATCAGGAAAGACATTCTAACTTATGTGAAGGATACGTAGAAAAAACACTGTGGTGACTGAAAATATATTTATTATCAAGGAAACAAATATTTATGATTATCTCCCGTGTTCTTAATGTTGGGCCATGTACTGTATCTTATCTTTCAGGCTTGTCAAGATCTTGACATTTCTCGATTTTGAACAGCAATATACTTCATTTAGTGGAAGGCAGAGAAACTGCTTGTAGCAGTTTTGAATTTAAAAAATGAAAATGGTAATACCATTTTCAACTGGACTAGAAGCAGCTTGGGTGCTGGAGGAAATTTTGTTGCCTTAGGGAACCTGAAATTTTGTTGCCTTAGGGGACCAGTGATTATGCTGTCTGGAGAAGACTTATTTGTTTCTGTTATGTTCTGCTTATCTATTTATAAGTGAAATAATATTACCAGAGGGACTGTAAGCCTCCAGCGCTGTTATTCTTTGAAAGGAAATTAAACCTTTAAACATTGTACCTAAAAGTGCTACCCCCTGGTCTTCTCATTTTTGCGAAAAGTACAAAGAAGTCAAGGAATGTACAAGAACAAATAGAAAAATTACTGGTTACAAATATATAGCAATACTGGATTGCTATGAGTTTTCCAGGCTGTATGGCCATGTTCCAGAAGCATTGTCTCCTGACCTTTTGCTCACAAAAGAAAATCCAACAAATGCTATGTTCAGCAAAGGACAAGAGGACAGTAAATAAAGAGCAACACTCAAAAAGCAGGGGAATTCCAAACAAGAGTCAATAAGGGCCAGCTAACACTTCCAAACAAAGGATTTCCCAGGCAGCAATCAGCTAGGCTTTGAATCTGCAAGGCCATTCAGTGCTAATCAAGGTGGCCAGTTGTAACATTCACACTGGCCTCAAGCAGACAAGAGTTCTTTCTCCCACCCTGGACATTCTACAGACATATAAACCTCACTTGCCTAGTTTCCAACAGACCCCTCAATCTCTGAGGATGCCTGCCATAGATGTGGGCAAAACATCAGGAGAGAATGCTTCTGGAACATGGCCATACAGCCCGGAAAACTCACAGCAACCCAGTGATTCTGGCCATGAAAGCCTTCAACAAGATAGCAATACTATTTGCTGCTGCATAGACCACATGGGCTTTTTGTGGCAAAAATGAAGCACCCAAATATATACATGCAGAGATGGTCATCATATTAGTGTGGAGAAATCGTGGGGGCAGGTGAAATAAGAGGGATGGTTCCATATTTCAGGACCAAAAAAACTGCTAAGTAGTTTGATATTTTTGTTTGCATCATGAAAACCAAGTTGGCCTTAAACATTTGAGTACTAGGCAAATATGTCTACTTTCCATCTAGATAAGAGAGAGCTACTCCTTTTAAATTAGGGATGAGAATGTGATTTGAGGAAAAGAGCAGCCAGAACTGAACATAATTAGAGGGATGGCAGATTAAAAGGGGAGCAATGAAACAAAAAGCAGCCAAAAGCACAGCTCATTTCACTTCTAAAAATGAATGCATCAATGTCCCTACGTGTTTTCAGGGCAAGATGGCAGCTTTGTCGGGGTTTCACCCACACCACGGCCTGTCTTTATGCACTCTTCCAGAAAAAAGATCAAATTCTATGGGGTCAGTTGCTTATACAAAGTAATGCAATACAGGGATACAAGGAGGAATGCGTATGGGAGAAAGCAGTTGCCTACTGCTAATGTATGCAGGAGTGTTAAAAGTGGCAAGTGAAGGTGAGAATATATTCAAAATGCTACACGAGAAGCACATGAAGGAGGGAAAAATTGTACAGAGAAAGGAGGATGTCATTTCTTTGCTGGATTTTTAAAAAGAAGTCACAGCCACCTCATAGGTAATTTAATTTTATTGCATTTTATAATGCCATTGTCCATACAGATTACATGCAGCTAGATCTACTGTACAAGGGTTTACCGTCTGCCAGAGCAGACACACAGAAGTCCAGAGTACAAATACACAGCAATGCTATTTCCTTTATACAGAGTGGAAATATGGCAGTGTGAAGCAGTAAGAGGAGGATGGATCAAAGGTTTATAGCCACCCTTTCCCCCTCCCCAGTAACCTTTCCTTTCACACTGACTTGCCACCTGCTAAAAGGATGATCACATCAAACCAACAAATGTGAGGAAGAAAAAACCCACAATATTAAAGGTTACTGCATGTCTTGCCCCTTTCTTGACCCTTCCTGTGTACCAGGAGAAGGAAAAGACAACAGGGCAGAGTGCCGACATGCCAAAGTCCCCCACCCTCCCACCATATGTTGGGTACTATGATGAGGGAGAAGAGATCCATTTGCAACAGAGAAAATGCAATCAGAAGAAGCCCTTGAAGGCCAACACAAAACATTATAAATGAACAAATCAGGTCATGCCAGCAGACATGTTAACCTCCCACTGTCATCCAGTGAGATCAATGACCCCTCTGGCTCATGTCGAACGGCTAAGCTGATATGGTTTGAAAGTCACTAGTCATTGGTTCTTGGATGTTTTCCTGCCACCTGAGATTCAGTGAGAGATTTGGAAGACAAGAATGCCAAGTGGTGAAAAGCTCAGAGAAGAACCTCAACTCTTTGGGAGGGTCACCAGGAAAACTGCTCCACATAGTATGTGATCAAAATGAAAGGGAAGAGTAACTGATCTCCAGTATTTCACAGCTCCATTACAATGAGTAAGAGAACTCCAAATTGATAAATGCTTCAATACTTTGGAACCATCTTAATTTGAAAAACGAAACAAACAAAACTCCAAATGAATAACCCCCTCTTGCAAATCTTGGAGCATGTCTATGTTTATGTGGAGTTGAACACCTGGAAATTCAGAGCATGGATAAGACAAGACAGGAATTTGTAGAATTTTCCAATTGGGATTTTTGTCTTTCTCCTTGAAAAAACCTATATTAAAATTAAGAAAAAAACATACAAAACTGAAACACACACACCTTTGGTTTAATACAATGTGTTTTGCTTCTGTTCCTACTGTTCTAATTCCCAAGAAGTGGGAAAAGAAGGGAAATTATTACACCAATGTCTCAGTTTCTTTTTGGCAACCATCTTATCTCCTCCCAACCTCATCATTTCTACCAACTCATTTATAGAAAGAAAACAAACCAAAGACAACATAAAGAATTGGAACAGCATCCAAGTCAAGATATAGAGAGATACAAGAATGGCTTCCTAAATTCCAGAACAAGGGAAAAAAAACCTTTCTATAATATTCCCTGCATTAGTTTCATCACAGGATAGTTAAACAGACAACAATAAACTAATTTTAGTAGGTTTTCAACCAGCATATAGATCAATATATACATATACTATCCTGCCACAAGTTGTGTTTGGTCTTTCCCACACTACCCCTTTAAAAGCCATTTTGAGGTAACAAACATAATAAAATATTTTTAAAGTTAAGTACTATATGTAGTTTTAGTGAAATAAAAATCTCATGAAAAGTCATTTGTGCAAAAATGGATGTACCTAATATAACTGAAACTCAAGGAAGGCTAGTACTGCCAAGATACTTGTAGCCCACCTAGCCCAGACTCATGACAACCAGATTGTTGCTTCAGCAGACAGAGGAGGGATTTGAGGGGCAACTGACCAGAATCACAAGGGCTTGGAATCATTAAAAAAAAGAAAGAAAAGCTCTTTATTATCCTTCTCAATGACAAATGGAATAACAATAAGCAGACACATTGATGAAATAGGACCCCCATACATTTTAAGTTGTAAGGTCGTATAGGTTCTTTCCTGTATATGGAACAATACCAATGTAGTTGTTTTGACTGTGGATTTATCAACTGTATTGAAAACTGAACAAAAGGGAAAATCCCGAAATCTTCAGGTCTTTATATGAATCAATGACAACAGCGGTCTAGGGAACCCTTTTTGGTATGTGAAAGAAAGACCAGGACAGTCCCAGAACAGAGAGCAAAACCTGTAGATGAAATCAAAACTTTGGTACCCATTTGGTAGACAGTTATCAATTTTTCTAGAAAGGAGGTAAGAGAAACACTATGGATGGCCCAAGCTTATTCTGAACACACTAGTAATTCAGATGAAATATCTATTGCCACTGTTTGGATATCTCCCGCACCCCCATTAATATTCTGTAGATGTTTGCCAATGTAACAGTACAAAAATGGATGCACAGAACAGTGGCAGGTTAAACCAAACATCACAATTTGCCTGATAGTTGCTCATATCCTAACAGTCTTAACTAAGTCAGTTGGTGTCCATCAATAGTTAGAGTCTGTTCTACACAGAGAATGCCCTTTTGAAAAGGAGTTCTCCTAGTAAGATGAATATAACCACATGGGAATCCTCTCCTGTAATTCGGGAAAAACAATAATAAGACACTCAAAGCCATGGCCTTGACATAAGATTGGACAGATCAGAAAACTTGAGCCAGATTTAAACAAAAGGTATCAACTAAAGAAAATGTTGCTAACGGAAGTCTTAGCAGTTCAATCAATAAGATCAGAGCAAATTTTACACTTCAAGCTGTTAAGAGGGCAAAACCCACCCCAAACTGAATAGCTTTAGCAAACAGCATATTGATTCAGTGATACTAAATTACATTCACTCTTCAGTGTCCCCCTTTAAAGGGACTATGTCAGTGTTAGCCAAGGAAGCTTAAAGCCCCAGACAATAATAATCAGCTGATTACTAATCAAACACAATGTAAAATTCTTGAGGCTGTAGCTAGAAGGATCACAAATAGGCAGGTCTGGATCAATTGCCAAGTGAAGTTAGTGGGAACCTAATACTGGCAGGAAGAAACTAAGGATCTGCTGCTTTCAGTATAGCATTTGCTATTTTCCAAATGATTACCTTTCCAACTTTATACAGGAACAAACCATGGGTACACAAAGAAATCCTCTTATTGCAATGGGGATTCTTTGCATGTACGTAAAAGATTACCTGAATTTTAAATCAACAGTACCATTCAGCAGTACGATGTCATTTCTTTCGCAATGACAGTGCAGATTTAATGAACACTGAATAGCTTCAGAAGTGACCCAATTAAATCTCTGAAGTTTATTAATTCTAAGTCATTGCAGAGAAAGCTGGACATGGGGACACACACACACAAACATGGTAGAGATAATAGTTTTGCTTGAAGTTATGGAAATGGAAATGCCTGGAGGGCATGCCAGTTTGAAGGACAGACGCTAACCTTCCAAAGCCTCATATATTAGTATCTGACCCTCAAATACATGCCAGATTCCTGCAGGGCCAGAAGCAGATTCAACATCCAAAAGATTCAAAGCAGCATCAATAGCACGATGACAAACGCCCATATAAACCCTGCATGGGTCAAGTCTATAACCAAATCTTCAATATGCAAGGCAGGTACTTGGAAGATAGCACATCCAATGTTTTAGACTTAGACTACAAAATGAAGCGGTGGTGAGAAGAGCCTTTCTGATTGTTGATGAGGCAGGGGTCACTTGCTTGAGAAATGGAGCATTGTAATAATATCTAACACTGATGAATGTGCACAGTTTCTCTTCAGTAATTAGTAACTTCTCGGGATGGTTATAAAACCAACATCTGAGGCATAGCATGATTTTAGGTAACAGTGCATGTGCTGGCACGTTCCATCATATTAAAACAATTGAATGAACAAGACATTAAGGACAGCCCTCCTCCTAACTATGATGCTTATGAGGAGAGAATTGCTCATTTAATGTGTGTGAGGTGGAATTCAATCACAAAAATACCCATGCCTCAGATGCAGGCATATCACTTCAGCAAGAACTAGAGCTAAAACTATCCTGTAAGGATGCACAGACCTTAATACTGTCATACGAAGACAGAGACGAACTTTAATTAGAGGAATGGATAGAAGTGGAATATAGTCCAGAAATGACTCATTTTGGGAGAAAATGGAATGATGCAGGATACACCATGTGGCAAAAACTGAGGCCTATTTTCACTTGTGCCATGTGAGTTTAACCAAAGGATTAGATAAGTGGTTTTCAACCTTGGTTTTGCAAGGTGGTTTGAATGTCTGACACCCAGAATCGTTGATGACTTGCCATGGTGGCTAAGTCTTTTGGGAGCTGAGATCCCAAACATCTGGAAAACCAAAGAATGAGAACCAATGGATCAGATGGTATGAGGAAGAAATCAAAATACTAAAAAAAAGACAGGTGGTTTTTAGCACAATGACAAGGCAAACTACTGATGCTGCACTGGCTGCTCTTAATCCAGAACAAAGTGCCATCTTATATATTCAAATGAAAGAATGGTTTCTCTTTTCCTGGAAAAAGTCATGGCCATGCCAGCATGACTGCCAGGCAGTCCAATTTGTGGACGGGGAGTTTTAGGACCAGGGAAAAATGAATGACCACCGAGAAGCACAACAGAGAGAAGAGTTCAGTCTAACAACATGACTTTTCTACTTTTGTAGCCTTAACTGAAATGGGAGAGGAGATGTTTTAGTATTTGATGGTACCAACATATGGGTTCGTTATCATACACCCAATGTTATGGCCACAATTCTGAAGTGTGGATTTCTCTAGATTGGTTTATAATATACCGTTAAATATATTTGCTCAGGGTACTATGATGTCTTTTTTGGGTTTCTTCATTTAAATGGGTCAAAGTCAATAGACCCCAAAAGTGAGGCATTGGTTTTAGGTTAAACAGAGATAGCTATATCTTCCGGGAAGCAAGAATGCTTACAGTTCAGATCAGGGCCGTACAGTACTAGGAGACAGCACTTTTAATACTGGCAGTACATACAACTGGGGCATCTCAGGACCAGCTGTAGATGCCGAACACATAAAAAGGGGTATTGTACTGGGGGAAGGGGAAGACTGAGGTCAGTGAATCAGGTTGGTAGCATTTATTATCAGTCTAGACTGATAATAAAGCAGCTGCCCTAATAGAACTTGCTAGAAAAGAAAGGCCAAGGTTGCAACTATACAGTTCTGGAAGTTTGCTTGCAAAGCAATTTGACACAATACCATGACACATAGTTTGTGAGGCAGTTCTAAGAAGCATCTTAGCACACAGAGCTGAACTTCTATATGTTTCACAGAATAGGTGGCTGAATTCTAGGAGGTGTATTTCAGAATCAATCAGAACAAGTTTTTAAAAATGCTGCTCCACGTTAAAAAAAACCCACCTTGCACATTTTAAAACTGGTGCACCTGGAGAAAAGACCATACATTGGCTTCCTTTACAATGCATTGTTTAGTATGTGAGGAAGATTTTCTATGTGAGGGAGTAGTAACAACATGAGCTCCCTAACTTCAGTCTAAAATGGTCTAGTCCAGAATTTTACACCCACTCCGTGTCCAAATAATGTGGACGTTCACTCTCTGTATTTGAAGAGGCTACAGTAAATCTGCTGATAAGCTTTTCGGAAAGCCGTGTTACCCAAAGATTGCATCAAACAATGGAGGACATTTCCAATAATTTTGTAGGATAAAAACAAAGAGGGAACAGAAAAGGAAAAAGTATAAAAATGCTGAAATCAAAGAGAAAAATCACATTGTGTACAAATAATAGCTGAGAAGTTAACAGACAAAATGAAGGCAGGTATGATTTGAAACAGGTAAGATGTAAGCAGTTCCAGAAGAGGCCCATGAAATGCAACCCTCCTCTGGGTTCCATAGCCCACCCTCGGTTTTGCGAACAATGAAAGCAAAGCAGCAAATCCATGATTCTGGTCTACCTTCAATAGATGTGTACAAAACAGCACCTGTAAACTTTGGTTTAAATAATAACTTAAAATCAAAAGAAAGTGACAAAAGGGCTAAGAGGCATGCAGGATCTTTGTGAATTTCTCTTTTTGGCCAGTGCAGGAATGGAACAAATCAGAATAAAAGCACCAAATAAAAATTAAAATAAAGAGTGTTTTGGTTTATGCTTCTTGTCTTAAAAAGGGTCTTTGGTAAATGGTTAAGCCAATTATAAAGCATTTTATACTAGGGAGGCATTTAAATGTGACCCCAAGTTGAGGTGTGGTGTGTCTTTGCTCAAACAGAGGATGGGAAGTTTCCCAAGCTGTTTTTTAAATTTGAGCAGGGACCTGAGGGATGGTTAGATACAGAGGGGATTGAGGTATTCTCAGCACCTGCAGTCCTATCTTGAAGGACAACCTTGTTGTCAAGTGATAGTTTTCTATGAGGAGGTTCTTAAAAGACCCCTGTAGTCTTACTGTCATCTCTTAAACACACGCACCACCACATTTCTGCATCCCTCTTTCCCCCATAAGTGTGGAGTCCACTTCACTTCAAATCGGAGCCACTCTCTCAAATCAACTAAAGAATAAACTTTGCGGATTTACTCAGCTTGTTGGAGGAAGTAGGAAGCTGAGCTGGGGAAATGCATGTTTAGTGGAGCCCTCTAGTGTGAACTCCAGGATCCAAGTACAGGTATGAGTCCTTTCAGAGTCCATTCGTTTATTCGTGCAGCCATGATGCAGAAAGGGAGTAAAAAGTTTCTGCAAAGTTTTTCATTCCCACTCTTTTTGTCTAGACTTGAAACAAATGTGGTTAACTTATATGCATACTGTTCAGGAGAAAAGCATCAGAAGGGAAATATAATTTGTAAGTTACATTGACAACAAATAAAACAGCTTCTCAAGGTCTACCAGACAAGGGGAAACAGCTATATGTATTGAGGAATACAGTTCCTCCTCCACCACCATCAAGGTCATTTGGGGGGGGGGGGGAGGTGTGGGGGAGATGGGCCAAGAAGGTGGCTAGAGATCGCAATGCACAGCATAACAGAATTCGAGAAACAAAATGGAATTTGCTAGCATCGCCCGCCAGAAACCTTAGATGCGCCTTCATTGGAAAAAGACAGTCTCAAAGCATTCTGTCAGGTGGCTTTAGGGTTGTTGCAGACATCAATCGGGAATTTCACCTCAAACCACTGTTTCCCCAGGGAGACTGACTTAAATGAAAACGAGAGCAAGAGAATGAATTTGAATTTGGCTATGAGATTGGATCCCAATCCCCATTTATCTACAGAAATTTAAGATTATAAAAAATAATGTGCCATTTTGTATTTTTAAGTGGTAAAAAGGAAAAAGTAGTGCTGGCTGGATTTACTGTAACCCTCTAAGTTTGAAAAGTGTGTATGTGTATGCATGTGTGGTGTTATCATGGTTTGCCAGCTGGTGCAAATGGGGCTTAATGCAATTAGAATGCACTGTATTGGAGATAAATGGATCAATATTATGTGCATTGGGGAAAAAAACAACATTCTGAGTAGATTAATGCCCTCCTACCCAAAAGCTTTGGCCTTTACCTCACCCTGTTCTGTGAATTACATGGTGCTTGGAGCAATGGTAAAGTGTTGTCTAATCACAGAATGGTGAAAAGGAATCCTAAGACATGTTAATCATGTTAAATACAAAAACACAATGTCCTTTGGGGCCTTAATATAGAGATGAGATTTGGTAAACTCACGTGTGTTGCACTTTATTATTCAAGCACAGGTGTGGCACTTTATGCTCCTAATATAAAGTGTGCTGGAGAACAGAAAAACCATTATTGTTTTCCAAATCATCCCAGTGGTTGAGGATGATCTCATCTTTCAAAAAGTGTTTTAATAATAATCTGGTGTTTACAGTTTTGGAGCAACTTCTGTATTTAATGATAGGAAGTATATATGGGTTTGTGTTAAGAAACTCGTCAGAAGCATGGTCTCAAAGTCACCCCCAAAATTTCTCTCAACAGCAACTGTTAAGAGTCTGTCCCAAAGAGGAAGTTTTGGAGTTGTCCTCTCAAGAAAGGAGAGACAAAGACCCTTTGAAACCTATTTTCTGTGATAAGAAAAGCCACCCAGATAAAAGTGTTCTCTGAATTCTGGTGTGAGGCAATAAGACAGTGAGCTGACAAAAATCAAAGGATGTTGGGATGGTTTTTGGTTAACACTGTTTGTTCACCTGAAAGTGGTACATCATTCATGCAATAAGAATTTGGAAACTTCTTGCTTCCTCCAAGTTATCTGGCATCTAGTAACTAATGACTAGCATACCAGTTGTGTTTGATATAGTTCACTGGATAATCTAATGACTAGAAGGAGTTAAAACTTCATCACAGCTCTGCTGTGACTGATGACCAAAGAAAAAGCATTGTCGATCTCATATTTATCTATATTGCTTTGGAATTTTTGCATGTTAAACCAGATCTTGGTTTGTTTTCCATCACCAGATAACACTGGCCTGTCCCCTTTTCCCCAACCCACTCCAAGTGCTTCAGATTTTGCCATCTTTGTCAAGGCAGCTCCACACACATCTACTGGCCATTCTCATTCATATCTCCACCCTCATAAAAACAACCATTGCCTTTTGGCCTCATGCTCAATTTTGTTAAAATGGAACAATCAGGATATCACAAACAAGGAGGAACAAGCAAAGGTTTCTATTCTGCAAAATTCGCAGTCTTTTCCTTGAATTCAGTCTTATGCTGGACAGCATCAGCTTGCCTTCCAATTGCCCAGGTGTTGGCTTCTGGAAGAAGTTTCACAGTATGTGACAGCATGGAATGGACATTCATCCCTGGATTTTGTGGTAGTTTGTGGACTGAAAATTGACTCTCAAGCACCATTGGTTAAAGAGGAGTGCTTCTTGGACTTGCAGGGGCAGAAACACAGGTTGAAGAAAGACTAACCGAGTGGTTTATGTGTGGCAGTGAGAAACCCTTTGGCTGCTTGCTGAACTACAGTGTGTTCATTGGATCCAGCTCGGTTTTTCCTTTCTTTCTCAATGAAGAAATGAAACAAAATTGGGATATCATGGCTTCAGTAAGGGTCTTGTTTCCAATTGCTGTTCCGACACGTTGAGATTGTGTGTGTGCCTGAAAAGATTCTTCCTAGTGCAAAGTTCTCAGTGGGATTAACTGGCAGGTTATTGGAAATGCTTTCCATAGGAAAGTAGAGGACATTCACTTGAATGCTGCTCCCTGTTGGACTGGATGCTTCCAAACTCTTGACTTCTGGAAACAACATGGCATTTAAGCTGAAAATGACAGAACACAGAGCAGACAATACAAGACACCTTCTTTTTATCCCCATGAGGCTGGGGTGATGGAAAAGCGGGGAGGCAACAAAGAAGTCTTCGGACAGAAACAACCTACCATCCTCGTTTACCAATTACAAAATTAAAAAAATTAAGAAAAAGAAAAAAACTCAACTCTGGTTTTTTTGTTTTGTTTTTGCACATCCCCCTCCATGAATGTCTGTTAAGAGTCAGTGGGATGTAAGGAAGGAAAAAGGTGTGCCTTCAGCAATGGGTAGACCCAAGGAAACCCTTTTGCTTTGCAGAAGTGCCTTAAACAAGATAACGCTGAAGGTCACCTTGAGGAGGTGGGAGCCACTGCTTTGTCTCTGGGGAAGTACTGGGCCCAAGGTGAGCAGGGAGGGCCCTTAAGACAACTCTTCCACTGGTAACTCCTCCTCCAGGTCTCTGTCATCAGGAATTGTCACATTCTGATTGGTTGTTCCCATAAGAGATACAGGTCTGCTGTCATCTTCTGTCTCAGCTGGTTCTTCCTTCACATGGACTTGGTGGCTAAAGTTGGAGAAAGCAACTGGAGTCAGTACAGTGGTTTGTCAAGGACAATAAGAAGACTTAGGGGATGTAATAAGCTTTCTGGTCAACAGTAGAAACGGAATATTTGATTAATGAGTCAGGAATCTCCTGACTTTGCTGAATAGATCTTTAGTATTCAAATCTAAACATGCATTTCCCATCAATAGGGATGCTTGGTAGCATTTGAATCAGCTAAATAAACAATGCAGTATTTTGTAGGAATTTTAATTCTTAGGCTATATTCCTACAGCAATTTTGTTTCCAATTTCCAAATTTGTATATATATATTTTCGTGTCAGGAGTGATTTGAGAAACTGCAAGTTGCTTCTGGTGTGAGCGAATCTGCCATCTGCAGACATTGCCCAGGAGATGCCCAAGTGTTTTACCATCCTGTGGGAGGCTTCTCTCATGTCCCTGCATGGGAAGCTGGAGCTGAAAAACGGGAATGCACCCCGCTCTCCGGATTTGAACCACCAACCTTTCGGTCAGCAGTCTTGCCAGCACAAGGGTATACCCCATTGCGCGACCAGGGGCTCTTCCAAATATGTATGGTGTAATGTGAGTTGTTTCATCCAATAAAACAATATTCTGACCATTGTTAATTGATAGCTCTTAGACATATATGCAATCTTATTATTTCTCGCCAAACTGTTATTTGGTGCCCTGTAACAACTGAAACTGGAATCCCTCAAGACATTTATCCCAACCAAGTTGTTACTAAGGCTGAGTAGCTACTGCTGTGGTGCGACTATATCATTAAAAAAGGAAAAGCCCATGTTCACATTTCCACTGGTGGAAAAACAAAAAATGAAACCCTTGAATCCCTAATCTTGTACATGCTTCAGTATGAATAAAACTCCACTTAATATATCAGTGTCATGTTAACTGGCTAGCAATAAGAGCAGGCTAACCTCAACTTGCAGACTGACGCTTCAACTTTATCAAAAATCCCTTATGGCATAACATGATCTATTACTGAACTGCAACAGGTCTGTGGTATTTACTGACAGCTGATCACACTTACCATAGGCCACGGCTACCAGAACCATGATTTATTTTCAACTGGAAGGAAGTCAGGAAAAAGGTGATTCTGGGCTCACCTGTACTGCTGTGGAGAAAGCCGGGGGCTATTGCTGCCATTGCTGTTGACTTGTTCCACAGTGCTGCTCACGTCATCATGGCCAACATGTAGCATGCCACTAGTAGAGCTTGTGTTGATCATAGTGGGACTGTTCAGAAGAGGGAAGTTACTCTCAGCCAGGGCAGCCTACAATCAGAGTGTGACAGATAAAATCCATGGATGCTCAATGAAGAAAATCAAGACACAAGATAATACAAGCATTGAGAAACACAAGCTTGTTTTCTCCATAGTCAGGTACCTCTAACCATGTTATCTTCAAGAAAAGTATGACAATGTAAGCAGAAAACAAGTATTTTTTCTGCTTTATTAAGAATATTGGTGTTTCTACCTCAATGTGTTAAAGAAAAATACTTTTGAAAAATCACAACAACACGCTTTTTTAGTCTTGATTTTATTTCACAAGAATACTGGAAATGAAAACCCGATCTGTTTCAGGTAGATGTCAGAAAGGTGATTTTTTCCATGAGTGCTGATAAATCTTGTCACCCACCCACATCATTGGTTAAGTGTCATCTGCAGCCTAATCTAGTGGGACTCATTAAATACTTCTAGGTCACTTGCTCCCCCCGCACTAATCTCGTCCATGGCTCCTGAATCATTTTTCCACATCTGAACCCTCTCCTCATCTTCCCATCCGCTTGTTAAAATCCAGCAAGAGAGAGGAGACAGAAAGAATAATAATAGCAGCAAGACTGCAAAAACACTCAGCTGTGAGAGAGCCAATCTAAATATTCTGCAATTCACTGTCTTTAATTTTTTTCTCAACTAGTGAAATTAATTAATTCTCACATTGCCTATCCTGCAACAGGCAGGAAAGTGTGATTTTGACCATTTGGGTCCAGGCTCCTGAATCATTATAGAAATTGGGCTTGATCAGGCTCTCTGGTCCATCTTATGGAAAAGCAGTACCTCTGAAGTTTCAAACTAATCGCAGTGGCTTCAACCATAATAGTCAAATCCTGAGTATTTACCCTAGACTGAAAGTAAAACTCAAAACAAAGACATACTGGGTTTCTATTTCCAAGTTTTCCCCAGAACTGTAAGGGTCAATGGAATGAAATTTCCCTCAGTGTTTTGAACGTTAAACACAACCTTTTCCAAATGAAGATGGCTCTCTGAAATTGCAGTGGGGTGCATAAAAACTTGTTCATTAGAAAAGTCATACCTGGTAGCTGGCATTAAGTGCTCCGTAACTAAGGCCAGAAATCATATTTTTGACTAAAGTTGGACTCCTGCAAATATAAGAAACAGTTGTTTAGTGTTGCTCTCCAAGCACAAAGTAAGATAATAAAGGCTCTGGAGAAGGAAAAAGACGAGAAATCTCCCCCATGTTCACGATTCTTCCTTTGTCAGTAAACAAAAAAGGCTCTACTGCTGGTATAGGATGGTAAAAGGTAAAGGTAAAGGTTTCCCCTTGACATTAAGTCTAGTTATGTCCGACTCTGGGGGGTGGTACTCATCTCCATTTCTAAGATGAAGAGCCAGCATTGACGGCAGACACTTCCGAGGTCATGTGGCCAGCACGACTGCATGGAGCACCGTTACTTTCCCGCCGGAGTGGTACATATTGATTTACTCACATTTGCGTGTATTAGAACTGCTAGGTTGGCAAAAGCTGGGGCTAACAGCGGGAGCTCACCCTGCTCCTCATATTCGAACTGCCGACCTTTTGGTCAGCAAGTTCAGCAGCTCCGCAGCTTAACACACTGCGCCACCGGGTGCTCAATAAGACGGTAAGTAACCATATAAATTACATGGATTAATATTAGGGCTGTAATAATGTTTAGAACTAAGATGAAAACTGGTTAATGCTTGTCAAGTTGTAACTCATATTTCAAAACAACTTTTATTCTGCCTTTCTTAACTTCGGAGATATGTGGCATGAATTGAAAAAGTTGACGGATGTATCTTTTCATCCCAGACAAGGGGTGTGTATGGGGAGCTATTGTACAATTAGAGGTAGATGAGTTTGAATTTATATTCCCATCACAGACTCCTAAATGTAGCTTTCTGTGGTAGGCAACATGAAAAAGTGATTGTGAACACCACAGTATGGAATGTTAGAAAGCTCTAGAAAACAAGCAGAGGTGAAGAGCACTATTAAGTAAAGCAGGAGCAGCTAAAGTGTGGTCTAGATGACATGCAATCTCCAGGGTAAAAAAAAGTTTCTCAAATTCCCTCTAGAGGTGTAAAGGCATTTTCGTCACGTTATGCCCCCCCAGGCCTTCTTAGGCCCAGGAGAGGCATAGTGAACTATCACACATACCCTGTCATCTTTGGTGGCCTTCTCTTTTGGTACTCATGTTCATCCACAGTCCAGACAGCTCCTTTGACATTCTCCACTCGCACAAAGCACTTGTGTAGGCTCAGGTTGTGGCGCACGGCATTCTGGAAAAAAGACAGAGGAAAGTAAAAGAGTGCCCCTCATAATGGGTGATTCCTCCACTCAAAAGGTCTGTCCACCACACAGTTTTCCCAAATGACTTCATTATTAGCAACTACTGACCTTGCAGCCTCTCTACAGAACGTTGGCAGCAACTTGCTAACCTTAAAATAGCCACGAAATCTGTTTCTCAGCATGACAACTGATGAGGAAATTATACTTTTAGCCAACCATATGCTTAAGATAACATTATGTAATAGCTGTGTACAATATTCTATATGTTATACAATATTATTCAGTTACATACATTAGCTGTCAGCACTGCCTCCTGATCAGGTGCATGTATGTTTTTACCTCTGCTTTATGTTGGCTAACCTTAATCAGTCCCAGCTATCATGTCTGATTAGGATAATGGGAAACATATTAGAGGCATTGTAGGAGAGTAGACTTCTACTAAACCTACAGGCAACTTCTTAGCAGTAAGAGTGGTTCAGAAATGGAACCAATTGCCTAGAGAGGTGGTGGGGTTTCCTTCTCTGGGTATCTTCAAAAAGAGTCTGGACAACTACTTGCTGATGATGTATTAGCTGGAGAGTCGGCATTGAAAACAATGGCCCACGGGGTCCCTGCCAACACAATGATTCCATGACTCTATAGAGTAGGAACTCGTATTAGCTAATATCAGCAGCAGGGATCATACAATATCATAGGAAATCTGACTGGCACAACCTGGGGATCACAACCAGACACAGTGAAGACATCTGCCCTTGCGCTATGCTACTCTGCTGCTGAGTATGCATGCCCAGTGTGGAACACATCTCACCACGCTAAAACAGTGGATGTGGCTCGCATTATCACGGGGTGTCTGCGCCCTACACCACTGGAGAAATTACACTGTCTAGTGGGTATTGCACCACCTGACATCCGCCGGGAAGTAGCAGCCAATAGTGAAGGGACCAAGGCAGTGATATCTCCAGCTCATCCCTTGTTTGGGTATCAGCCAGCACGTCAACGACTTAAATCAAGAAATAGTTTTCTAAGATCTACAGAGACACTCGCTGGAATACCCCAGCAAGCGAGAGTCCAAAAGTGGCAGGCTCAAACCCAGAATCTCAATCAATGGCTGATATCAAATGAGAGACTCCCCCTGGGCACACAGAAAACTGGACGACTTGGAAGGCGCTGAACAGACAGCACCCTGGCACCACCAGATGCAGAGCCAACCTTAAGAAATGGGGCTACAAAGTGGAATCCACGACATGCGAGTGTGGAGAAGAGCAAACCACTGACCACCTGCTGCAATGCAACCTGAGTCCTGCTACATGCACAATGGAGGACCTCCTTGCGGCAACACCAGAGGCACTCCAAGTGGCCAGATACTGGTCAAAGGACATTTAATCAATTACCAAGCTTGAAAACTTTGTGTTTTGTTTGTTTGTTTTGTTAAAAATGTAATACAACTGTCTGGTTGCTCCTGATACGATAAATAAACAAATAAGCAGAGGGGAAAGTTTTAAGTGGAACAATAAAGGGAGAGGAATAACACCCTCTTCAACTGGCAATCAATGGCATCAACAATCATCAGCAGCAGGTGGGAATAGACTGTTGATCCGAAGTACAGGAAGAAAGCATTGCAAGACATTCCAGAACGCTTCAATTCTCCAGTCACACTAAATGCCTGGAGGAGTTCACCAAAAGAAGGACACCTTCCTTTCAGGCTTTGGAATACTTCCAAACAAAGAATCTACAGAAGAACCATTTTTTGAGCATGTGCCTACAGATGTCAGCTGTGGGTGGTTGCTGGAGCTTCCACAAGCCAACCGACGTAATCCCTCATTATTGGCTAAAATGTAGAGAAAAGGGAAGGGAGAGGGAAAGCAAGCTAAAGGGGCAAAATGTTTCCAATACCATCGGTTTGTTTGGCGGTCTTCAGGTTTTTTTTCCTTCTGCAAGTCACAGCCCACCCTTCTTCTTTATTCTGTGTTACCCATCTTTACATTTCTAAATGTAAAATAAAGAAAACGCACGTACACAGGCAGTGTTGCCCCGAGAGATACTAGCTCCCTTTCCCCCTTCTAGCTCCTTGCCATTTGCTACTGCCCCTATTTCATTACCAATTTTAATTTGCCTCTAATTAAATCCTGTGTATTTTTCCGACTCACTTGCTAATCCATGAGGGAGGCAGGAGGCTGGAGTGGAATCTCTCCGAGCTATAATTACAAAGGGCCTAATCACGTCGGGGCTCTGCCTTTGAATAAATTTCCTTGCATTAAGGTTCTCAGATTCTCTGCCTTGCAAATGAGAATGACCCCAATTTCAGGATGTTGGCCTCGGAGGGTTTTTTTTTTTATTTCGAGTCCTGATTCGTGATGAGAGACTAATTCGTTACGCTAAAACATTAACAGCAATTTAAAAGGTCGAACGGGGGCCGTATAAACAAAAGAGCTGGCCAAGACAACAAGGCAAAAGAGAGAGATGGGAAATAAAGCCCCTACACCTTAGAAAGTCTTGCAATTCTTGAAGACAGAATGAATTAGACTTTTTCCTCCAATTTTGGTTACAGTTTATTTTATCAACCCCATCAATTCCTTTCCCCCTCCCTGGCTCATTCTATTATTTGTCCAATAGGATGTTTGTGATTTTTTTCTCCTCTGTGCCCTTGTTCTCCAAACATGGGAAGACAGGGTCTCTCTTTGCACTCTTGTTATAAGGGATTGATGTTGCTCAGACATCACTTGAAAAGGTGTTAGTCACCACCACACTTTTGCTGTTACATTCAGCTGTGGAGGAATCTACTTTTCTAAAATTCAGTGAGATCATGTTGATTGACAGCAAGGCTCAGGACTTACTTATAGTGGATGCCTCTTTGAAATAAAAAGTAAAAGACACAAGCACCAAGCGTTCCTTATTCTCATGACTCCAGTCAAAACTCCACCACATTTTAAAAAGTGGAGGGTTACGTCAGAACATCTAAACTGAAGGCACTCTTATATGGCAGTTTTCTTGGCTTCACAGACCTAGACTTTGCTATAGGTTCGGGGAGCTAACATGACTTTAAGTATGGTAACATACCCAGGGAGCTGGGAGAAATAGCTTTGGCTACATCAACTTTTTGATGACATCTGAAATGTTTTATCACCCCTTCTTTGTGGCAATGATGTTGCTTGCACTACGAGGTTCAGCTAAGCTCCAAGACTTTGTGGTAGATTGCCTGTGAGCGGAACATCTACCTCAGGACTGATTTGAGAAATAAGTCGCAAGTGTATGTGAGAGAGAACATTCAGGAGCACATAAGCCTAAATACTTAGCTGAGACCCACAGAGGGAATCTCAGACAGGAAGTGAATTTTTTGTCTTCAAAGTCAACATGGATGCAGAAATTCAAGAAAATAAGGCGAGTCTCTCCCTATAAAAATACTGCAGCCTCATGTTTTACTTTGGGTGCACAAACCCTGAAAGGGATCAGGTCCTGCAAGAAACATCACATTTTCTTCTACTACAAAATTCTCCATTCAAACCGTCTTGAGGGCAGATGCCCCTGGCACTGAAATCTGTGGATTACCAAGAAATTTAGCCTTGATGAAATTAATGCTGTTGGAAAATACAGTCCCTATTTCATCAGTGAAGTCCTGGTTGCATTGACCAGATGATGACTCTGTCAGTGGACGTAGGTGTCCACACTCCTTACCTCATTGAATTGAAACTGTGTCCTGAATCTGAGAAATTCCTGGTGAGCCTAATTCAGGCGAGTGTCCTGCTATTATCATTTATCTTATTCTCATTCACTCTCATACTGTCTTATGATCTTAAGGACTCTGAGTCAAAACTGAGGGTTAGCATCATGTTGCAATATTTTTCCCATTCTTCCCAATATCATGAGATCTCAGGGTGGTGTACAAGTAAAATCAATTTGAATAAATAAAAGCAAGGTAAGCAATAAAAATAATATAGAGAGATTAAAAGCATATTTAATAATTTAACAAGTTAAAATACATTTTAAAGAGTTAAACGGTTAAAAAAGTTTAAAACTAAGTGCACTTGAGAGAAAATCAGTTTGCCCCAAGGGCTATCAGGCATAACTTGGTGGTAAAATAAAGCCAGATTTGATGTCAACTAGGTCTCCAACGAAATGGCATTCCACAGTTGAGGTGCCCCACTTGAGAAGGCTGTCTCCCATGCCCTGTTACACAGTATTGCTCCCACTGGTGGGAAATCAGAGGGACCCCCAGTTCTTAGGCAGTTTTTTTGTCGTGTCAGGAGCGACTTGAGAAACTGCAAGTCACTTCTGGTGTGAGAGAATTGGCAGTCTGTAAGGACGTTGCCCAGGGGACGCCCGGATGATTTGATGTTTTTATCATCCTTGTGAGAGGCTTCTCTCGTGTCCCCACACGAGGAGCTGGAGTTGACAGAGGGAGCTCATCCGCCTCTCCCCGGATTCGAACCTGCGACCTGTCGGTCTTCAGTCCTGCCAGCACAGGGGTTTAACCCACTGCGCCACCGGGGGCTCCCTTAGGCAGTTATGTATTGGTGTTGGACTACACCTCCCATAATTTCTTGGCTTGGACTGATGGGAGTTGCAGTTCAGTACTCTTGGAGGGGAGGGCTGCATTCCCCACTCATTTTATGGGTATTGATGTAAGTAATAGTGGGGCAGCATCTTGGTATATTCCCACAGAAGAAAAGGAGTTAATGACCAAAGGATTCAGGGATTGCTAGAGGTCATCATGCATTTCAGGGTCTTCATAGACCTCTTCTGAAAATTATATACAAATGTTCATTTCAAACACAAGTCCAAACAAAAATAGTTTCATACAGCAGTAATGTGGAGGCAAATATTGATGCATGGGCAACTGTGTGCTGGTTCTGGGAGCAGTAGAATTTAGTAACTTAAGCTTACTGGCTTTTTATGTGAACTCTACATCTCTTACACACCCTAGAAGGTAGAAGCAAGGTGCTGCCAAGCATGTCTTTGCTTTTGCTTCAGTTCTGTGGTCCTTTGCTCTAGG